GAAGTTCAACATCGACGCTACAGACGATCTTATAGGCACGAACTTCGGCCGCTGGGCTAGCCACGACAAACCTCAACAACGTGGCGGCAAACCTGTTCTCAATGGTCGTACGTTCCGCGCTCAACACGATCCCTGGCGTGGCATTTCGCGCGCAGCCTTCGGCGCCGATTACCTCAAATCCTACGAAAGAGGCACCCATATCCCACGTCCAAATAGCAACAAATCAATAATGGAGTTAAATCACTACGACGAGTCGGACCAGCCACGATACGGACACGATGTCTATGTACAACGATTGAACGTATATGTGCAGCTTAGCGACGGTACACCCGGCCAAGCCGTCGATCCCGACATACCAAATCCGTACGACGAGGAAGCATGGGAAGAGTATATGCGGTTGAAGAAGAGTTACGGCAACGTAGATGCGAATGAACACCAAGAACGCTACATCCCTAAGCTTCGCTCTCTCGACAACGGAAACACGATCATTCTGTTTGAAAACTCAGTCACTGGCTCCGTCAAAGATACCCTTATTGGTGCCAGACAAGAACTCGAATCCCGTTGGAGACGTCTCTCCTTCTACCTTCCCATGGAGGAGAACGATGAAACATTGACAGCGGAGTGTATGGATTTCATCCTCCAGGATATTTTCAAGGCGTTGAGCTATAATTGGCAGAAGTTCTTGGCCATCTGCGAGACACATGTTGGCATCCTTGAAGACAAGAGTGAGTAGGAGCCTACCTCCGGCCGTTCAAGTAGTCCGTTTCGCTAATTCCCAACTACAGTCTACGAAAACCCTGCTGACGAATCCCGCGCCCCCGAGCTCTGGAAGAACAGCGCGCAATGGCTCAAGATCGAACGCCTCATCTACATCCACGTCGACGTCATCAAAGAAATGGTCACGCATCTTCATGACCTTGCCGGCGCCGACCCAAAGGAATCGTCAGACCAGCCTTGGTTAGGTTCTGTGCCAGACGAGCTAGATAAGCTGACTGGGCAGTGGGAAAGAGATGTCATCCTGCCTACAACCGCTCTGTCAGACCTCATGTACAAGAGTGTGGGTATCAGAGATGCCCGACACTCTTTGCAATTAGGCCTGAGTATGTGGCGGTTGAGTTGGATCACGTTCATGTACGTAACCCCTAACCACCTATCCCATCGGCTATCCAAACTAACAAGACTAGTTTCTTGCCCTTGACCTTCACCGTCGGTTTCTTCGGCATGAACGTTTCCACGTTTTCTGAGAACCCACCGCTGAAATGGTGGTTCATCGTTTCCATCCCCGTCCTCGCCGTCGTCCTCATTCTCTGGTATGGCGTCAAACATAATCTCGCTAGCCAACGCCAGAATCCCATGCGCAGAGGTGTGTACGAATCGTTGTATCATGAACTTGCTACTGCGCAACCATCGCTATGGAGCAGAAGCGGTCCGCGCGACGATGTCATACCAGTAGGGCGGTGGGCAGGCATCAAATGGCGACTTATCACCCGCTGGTTCGGCGAGGATAAAGTCAAGCTAGGGAAGACTGTAGATGGAGGTGAGGATTTCGGCGTCGTCGGCAGAGTCCGCAGGGCGCTGGTTAGGAGGTGGCTGGGCGAATTGACTGTTATGCGTCTTCCCCAGCAACCTTCACCATTGTCACCAACTGAGAAACCGGGCAATGATGAACGGTCGAGTAGCAGGAGTTCTATCCGGAGTGAAGTGGCGTCTTGCATGATTCAGCCTTTTGAGCCAAAGGAAGGGGGTGCCGTGGCTGAGCTGGCGAGGGTTGCGACGCCGGTTGCGTTGGCGGATGCGGACCCTACGGCTGCCAGTCGGCTGCAAAGGAATGGGAGGGGAGAGAGGATGGGCAGTCTGAGTCCGCATGGGAGGAGAGGGAGTGCGGCGAGTAGTGATGGGGCTGGGGTGATGGTTGAAGAGAAGGGAGGGAGTGGGGATGAGCGCGAGCCTAGGATGCGTGATAGACGGGCTGGTAGGGAGAGGACATTAGATGTACCGAAGTGAGATGGGGGACTTAGGGTAGACACGCTATCTTGTCGCTATAAGAAACTGAGGAGACTCTGTTCTATGAGTGACATGGAGGGACTGTCACATCAATTTTGCAGATCCCATGCGCGCGAACCTCGAGGATTTGGTCCCGTCAAAATACACACTACATGTATGCCCTGTGGCCCAAGCTCTGGGCACGCTCGACGTATAAATACTCCTCTCGTTGCGTTCTTTACTTTCTTCTATCACTTACAACATCTTTTACGAAATCAAAAACTAGCAGTCACATAGGACATGGACTTGTGTCCTCTTTCTCCCAAATTCGAAACTCCAAACCCTGATGTGCTGCGTCGTGTCTTCCTCCGAAAAGATACACCAAACCAGGAATGGCTGTCTCTCTCTGCTATGTCTGAATTCAAAAGCAAGCCCGACATCAGCCATGGGCCAGCCTGAGTTACTATCTTCGTTTTCAAAAACGGAAAGATGATGGGCATGGGTGGTTATAATTACCAAATGAAACCTCTATGGTCATCATGGAAAAAGGAGATGCACCAAATGGAAAACATCCACGTCCCACCCTCGCACCGCCTATAACGGCCCCGGCTCAGCGCCTGCCGTATAAAAAACCTGCTGGCTACGCTTGATACCTTTCTTCTACACACCCACGTTGTTCTTCATGACTTCAAAAGGTTGTTGGGCTGGTTCCATGGGTCCGCTGTCTCCTTGTTCCTCAAAAAGACCGAGTGGTTGGATCCACGTGCTGCGTTTTCTTCTCTTCGTAACCATATTTGTCGCAATGGATGTGATCCGTCCTCTTTTCTATCCTTGAAAACGAACATATCAGGAACATGGATGTTCTCCCGTCTTCTTTGGATCTAGAGTCCGATAAATTAATGTATAAGCCGACTATGAGGGCAGCCGCATATTCAAAGGATTGACTGTGAGATTCGTAGTTCACGATGGCTTTCTCTTGCTGCTTACGGCAATAGGAGGGAGCAGCGCATTGGCACTACATCAAAGAGAGAAACTAAACATCTCTTTGGAGCATACCTAGGTAGCACTCGTTATAAGTCCTCTTGTTGGGAGCCAATGTAAGCTGCAAGGTAGAGCTTGTTATTTCTATACCTGTTTAGTTTTGCTCTTGTATGTGGTGCTAGGTCTCAGGCCACAGAACTAAATCAGTGTGCTGTACTCTCCATACTCTTCAAAAGCAACATCAAAATCGACACATGTCCTGTGTTCTAGTTTTTTCTCTCTGAAAGGTGCAGTGGAGTAGTGGTTGTGAACTTCACAAAAGCGTCGAAACACCAGTCATGTTACCAATCTACCAGATTGTCTTTTGATGGGACCGAAATAATAAAGTTTGGAAGCCTCCACCACAGTACATTTGAATCGGGTGAGAAATAGAAGTGCCCAGGAGTGATGTTACTTCCGGCTAGTGGCGACTGTGACAGCAGAGACGGCTAAGGTGATGCTTGGTCTGGAAATGACGTTTATGGTCACCAACTCAAGGGAAATACGAGTCCCCTAGCGTCTCCACTATAGGCAAGTAGGCAAGTGACTTGTTAACGGAGTGGCGGTGCAACTTTCTTACACAGCGAGTTGACCGACCTACTGCCTGTATGTAAGATAGGCTCAATGCGCTCTGAAGGTCGTGAGACTACTCATTGTTCGCATCGTGGGAGAGGCGTAGACGTTATATCCAAATATAGCGACATGTGGACCGTGGTGGTTGATTTGCAGTTAGTGCCCGGGACAGCCTTGTCCTCATGTTATGTTGCTTGCTGCAAAGGGCAGCCTCGGCTGGCGATCTCGGCCTGTTTATGACGTACAGCTCCCCGAATCAGCAAACCTTCCCGCACCTACGGCTATTTACCGTATTGACGATTTAATTGATCGGCACGACTATGCATTGTTCAAGGGTGCAACTTCGTGTTGGCACAACTGTTCATCGTATATAAGGTATTCGTCTTTGCTGTCTATTTTCTGCATCTTCACACGCCCACTCTACACGCTCACCAAATACACCTCTACATATCTATTCTTAATACGAACTACTAGAACCTCAACTTCACAATGGTTTCCTTCACCGCTCTCGCTCTTCTGGCAACTTCTGCCATGGCCGGCCCTGTCGCTCGCCAGATCGCAATCCCCGAAAACTGGGATTGGCAAGTTGAGAACTGGGAGGCTGGTTGCGGTCGATCCGGCTGCTACTACAACTTCAACGTTACCGTACCGACCATCAAGGGAGAGATCGCAGGTGTAAAGGCGTACTGCCACGGCTACGAGCAGGGATACGACAACAGCTTCACCGTCCCTTCAACATACGAGACGTGCCAGCTGCTCGAGGGTGTCAACAACGGTGTTGCGGCTAGGTTTTCTTTGAGGGAAAACGACGGCCAAGGCTTTGGACCCAAGGAGATTGAGGTCAGCTTCCTATACGCTGGATATGAGGACCGGTAAGTTACGATTCATATTAGGAAATGTGATCAAGAACGTACGCTGACTTGACGTGACAGCCCTGCCTACAACTTCTCCGGCAGCCACGAGGCCAGGTACAACCAGTTTGTTGCACCACAACTCAACTTCACCATCACCCCCACAGAGGTGTTTGGCATCGCATAAACGAGGTTGTGCGAACTAGAACGATAGAGGGCTCCCTCAACAATCTTCTTTCGAGTAGATACTACGAAGAATAATGATAATGATTGTAAAGCGAACCAACATGCAGAATCTCGTTTTATGTATACACATGCTCTGATGATCGTAACTAAAAATCTCTAGTCTTCTTCTAAAACCAGGTTGACACGTCGCTTGATGCTTATCAGGGATGCAACAGAGGTTGGAAAAATGAGCTCGAATGCTGAGCCTGGCGTTTACAGGCGACACTTCTGGTAGGATTGAGGTAATTAAACACCCTTCAACCACTTACATGCTTCTTTCTTGTTCGACAGTGTTGACCCCTGCAACCAAGATGAGTGGGCACCCATAATATGTTCTTGACGGTTGTTTCATACTATTGTGATCGTGCATTTACCGTCATCACTTATTGACTGGTATTCTAGCCATGATTCGTTCGTGACGTGTGCCAGCTGATCACAATCCTCTAGCCCGAATGCTTCAATGCCTACCATAGCGATTCCCACCCTTTGGAACTGACCACGTGCGACTCCAGTAGGGGTGAGGAGTAGAATATTTAATAGCCCATGATCTTCGAGGGGTAGACAGTGTAGGTGGGACGACGCGAGAGGACGATCAAGATGAATATTCGCACCACCCCAGCTGGTCCACCTTCCATTCAGATAAATATCCCATCTCTTGGAGTTTAGGCGAATCTCAATAGTTGCCAACCAACCGGATAGTTGCAAAGCAGCGCTAATGACCGCACCTGTCCGATCCGCTGTCGCGGTTCTGATGTCGCAACAGACGATGTCGACTAAGAACTGCCCCCTCCACGCAATCCAATCTACTTCCCCGTCCATACATGCCCATGACCACGAAGGTGCACGATAAACTATAGTGTCTGCTTCTGGTTTGGGTATGGATGGTTCGCGAATGGTCCAAATCAACTCTGGAATGAGGTCAAAAGCCCAGAGTCCTGCCCAGTAGTCAATCTTAAGGAGCTGCTCCATGTGCTTTGCAATACCTGATAGAGCAACTAGCTTGTCGCTCGGAAATGTCAAGTCGCACATGTTGTAATCGCTCACGATGTGTTTCCATAGCTCTCGGAACGTATCCGTGTTGAACCTATCATTTTCATGTGTAGAGATATGCACACTCTCATTATAGCCAGTCCGGTGGAAGCCAAAGACTTCGATGGAGGCAGAACGCGATCTCAATTTTCCGTGGTCCACCCACATGTTTGGTGGTGGTCCAATAGGCCAGGTTTCACAGGCATCCAAGCCATGACACTCCCAAAACAACTGACTACCACAGAGATGAAGCACCCTAGGAGCCAAAGCGAGTTCCTGAACAACCCATGCACGCTTTTTCAGGGGCATAGACGCGAAGTTGTCTACCCAGTAGTGATCATAGTAAAGGTAATAAGTGCCGTTGGGGTAATCGGTCCATGTAGTTTGGACGAGGGAGCGCTCAGCAGTAGAAACTCTTTCACGAAAGCAACCGGCATCGCTATCGACCGCTATACTGGCTGCAATGTTGAGGAAGCTATGACGGTAAACTTGGCTCATGAGTGCTGCCTCGTGCTGCCAGTCTTCCTTGGAGTCCTGGAAGATACAAAATGAGTCTATCCACAGCAACTTGATGCCAAGTGACTTCGCGGCAAATACAGCGTCCTGAAATGTCTTCGCCAGTTCAGAAACATTCACACCATCTCTGAAGCGTTGGTACGAATGTGACGTTAACCTCAGAGTCTTCGAGGTTCCCCAACAATGGCTGAGTGTTACATATTGCGGAGGAGCATCATCTAGCTCAGAACACAGCCGCAACCGCAATTTGTTAGCCTCTGGCTGGTCAATCTCGAGAAGACGCGTCGGGCAGTATGTCATGGACTTGAAGCCAGATGCTTGACAATCTGTGTGAGTTTCCGTACATTTGGCTAACCATGTTCTCGCGCACGCCATACTGGCAGCCCAGTCTGATGCAGGTGGCTTATGTGCATCAGAATTCTTATGATCTTCTGTCTCGAACGTCAGCAAACAGCCTCTGTTAATGAAGAGATGCGCATACCACCCGCAAGCTCACAGATGAAAACGAATTCACGTGTGTATTCGTGCGAGTTGGCTTCAACATGCACTTGCCTAGTGCCTGTACCGTCGTGAAATTCTTTCACTATAGTTTCCGTCGATATTTGAACATGCTCTGAGCTCGGTTGCGACGAGTAACAGAAGGGGTCGTTCCATAAAGTGCGACAGATCTCACAATCCTCGAGAGCGGATCGTTGCAAGCTCTCAATAGAATCATGGTGCTGAGTGTATTCCACTGGGCACGAGCCTCGGAAGATATTGAGGCAGATCTCACACAGCATCGTGGGTGTCTACCAGATATGGCGAAAGTAGCTTGATACTACCTAGATGAGATGGTTGAGATCATAGTATGTCGCTACAGTTTTCGTAGGAGAATTGTGTTGTTGTAGAGAAGAAGAAGCTCCGATGGGTGCTAAAGCGGGGTTAACGTGAGACAGCATTGTTAGGCGTTCAACCTGCACAATCGACATCTGATATAGACTCTCTTTTATCCCAACAGGTGTTGACGGACCCGAGCGGAATAACACGGACTATTTATTTTTGCGGCCTTACTTTCTTATGCGTTTTAGTAGCTGTCTCTCAGTGTCAGTTTAACTTTACATCTAGCGCATCACTCCCGTGCCTCAGGCTGAAGCGATGGATTCATCTTGGCATAAAGCCACACGTCTCCATTATCGTACGATACGACTATACGAGCTGTCAGTCAATGCAACGTCAAATTACTGGGTTTTGCTTGCTAGGTTGATACTGGTATATGTATTGTTATTCATGGGGTATATTGTACGCTATGCTCCTACGCTACAAGAAATTTGTAGAGATATATGTTACAAAAAGGGGGTGATTTGCTCGCTGAGTGTTTATAAAACTGGAAAAAAGTGATTTGATGGATCCCGCGGAATACTTCCTGCCATCGAGAGAAAAGATCGTGGGACAACGTCCATGTTTTGTTCATTAAGTCTTCTCGCGTCCTGTGTGCTCTAGAGCAGCAATCTACGCGACAACATCCTTCGTGGTGACATTATCTGTCGTCGTCGTCATCTCCTACCGTTCGGTCCCCATGGTGGCTGTTTTGTACTGTCTCTCGGAAACAATCCGTAGTTGTTGACGTCTGTCGCGGTATTGCCCCAATTGCCAACACTGCTTGTCCGTTTACTTCGTGTGGGTTGTCGGGTAATATTCCCATTCACATCTTTCCGGTTGAAGATACTATGAAAGCCAAGAACTTCTGGCCGGTCAAGGTCGAAAGGATCCGACTGTCGGACTGTTCGACCTGTCGGTGCTGGAGTGAAGAAGTTGGTAGAAGGTCTGCTCGGTCCCGGTTCTCCGAAGAAGATATCAGAGTCACGCGAAGCGAATGTTGATGTCGCATCCACGGTCGACAGCGCATTGAAGCCTGGTAATGCCATCGAGGAACGACGGGTGTGGCTCGGCAAGACAGCTTGGGTGGGAACAGGCGGTGCGTAAGGTGGGTCTCGGAAAGGGTTGTCTGCTGTGTAGAACGACGAAACAGGGTGTGAGCTTAACGCAGATATCGAACTCATCGTCCGTTGATGATGGTGAGTAGGTGGTTGAGCCCATGCTGGCGCAGCTCCAGGTGGATCCATGACAGATGCGAATGGATCTCGTGGCGCGGCGTCTGCAGTCGCTGCAGGAACTTGGGGTGTGACAGGCGCGCTTCGGGGGTCGGGGTTGAGTACCAATAGCTTGCTTTGCGGTCCGGGATCAGCAAATGGATTTGGCGACCCCGTGTCTTCGATGATGCCTGGGAACCGGTAATTGGATGATATGCTGCTTGGCTTTTTGCGGAGCAGATTCCTCTCACTCTTCTTGCTTGATCTGCTGTTGTTGGAGCCTGCGCGCTTAACTCCGAAGAAACCTTGCGGCTCACTGCTCGATCGGCCTCTGCCATTAGAGTCTCTCGAGTACACTGATCCAACACTGGCTTGCGCAGCATGACGTTGGTAGGGGTTGCTCATCGGACCAGCCTCGCTTCCTTTTATCCTCGCAACGAATGCTCCCACCCCACTAGGTATCGTCTTCAGCCTAGCTAGGAAGCTTGGGCCTGTCTCTTGCTTCTCGTTCCATCGTACTGGTCGCGACTTCCGTTTCCGTAGACAAAAGAAGAGCAGTATGCTGATGAGAGCCAATGCAGCGACGCCACCAAAGACTCCTCCGATTATGCCTCCTATATTGCCACTATTCGCAAAGGTCAGGGGGCCGTCATCGCCACCAGTGGATCCCTCTGGAGCAATTATACCAGCCGACCCTCCAGTGGGTGTAGAGTCTACTAATGAAGTAGTTGGCTGTGGCCGTGCTTGGGCGGGCGAATCTGTCACGATAGATGGCTGTGCCCTCGTATCGGTCTCGATAGGCAATGGAGGGCTCGTGTCCTGAGTAGGACCGTTGGATATAGCCGGAGCTGTGAAGCGGGCCGGTACGCGCGAAGATACAACGAGTGACGTTGGAACAGCTAATTGTTCTGTGTCAGAGCTTGTTGGTACAGAGGTCAGAGGCACAGCTGAAGACGCTGCAGCAACTTGTGACGACAGAGACAGAGTGACCACGGCGACTGGAGAAGATTCTTCCAGCGGCGCCTGAGTCTCTGGTGGCTGCTGGGCGGCTGCCGTTGCACGCTCTGAAGACGAGAGGGCCAGCGGTGTTACTCGCTCAGAAGATGTAGGGGCCGTGGTACTCGTACCTATCGCGGACGTTGCTGCTACTTCTGTTGTAGATGTTGTCGGCACTGCAGTCGGCTGCTGTGCTGGCTGGTCGGCTGGCGTAGTTGTTGAGGCCGGTGCCGTCGAAGAAGGCGGTGGTGGTGGTGGCGGAGGAGGCGGAGACGATGTCTGGGCGGTGGTGGTCTGTATTTGCGATGTCTCCTCAGCGGCCGTGGATGTAGTGACCGCGGGAGGAGCGGCGGTTGATGTCTCTGTAGTTTTGGAGGTTGTAAGGGCCGTTCGGGCTCGTGAACGGGTACATCGTCTCCCGTTTACGGTCGTAATCGACTGTTGAGGAGTGGCCATGCGAGCAATGGCTCATGGAAAGAAACGCCGACAAGGGCTCAGAAAGAGAGACGAAGAGAAAGGTTACAAAGCGCCGCAGACGCTTTGTGCATATTAACTTGGGAAATTGGAGTTTACCGCTACGTGATACTGAATGAATGATTAACGACGAGAGATGTTAGTAGGCGTTCGAAGAACGGCCGGGTAGTAGTCAACCGTTGGCACAGTATGTTGCGCTTGTATCCGTCTGAAACGCGGGCGGCTTCACATCGCGCTTCGGACAATGCACATGAAGCGCGCTGAGCCTCGCACAGTTCAGCGGCAACGGTATGGCCGTCTCAGCCGAAAGCCGTGCCGCCCGACAAAGCATTCTGGTAGCCATTCTTGCGGACGCGATGACATATGTGACGATGCACGATGGGACAGAAAAGTAGTGTGATGTTGGAGGCTTCTGGTGTTGCGACAACTGGCGGACGGGACGGGACGTCTGTGAGCACGTGATTGAACACCAAAAGCAACTTGAAGATGCAAAAATACTTCTATTCGACCTCTTGCACCTGGGGGGTTTCTTGGAAGCATCTTCCTGGTCCTCTTGCGATTCATTCAGTCCGAGTGACAACAATTGACAGTCGTATGCGCTTCAACGCATGAACAAGCTCCTAGCTTCTCGGCAGCTACGCTGGGTGTGACTAGTGGAGAGCAACTATCACAATCTTTTATATTAGCTTTTCGAGAGTTGGATGTCATGCATCGACATTGTGTGTTTGCGGAAGGCTTTGGAGGTAGAGCTGCTGGTGGGTGTGGAGACGTTGTTGTGCCGGGTGCGGTGCGCACGTCCAGTGTTTGAGGATCCGCTGGCCTCGCTCGACATTGACATCCCATCGCCGATTCCAACGCATCCCTAAGAATCACGGTCCCCGTACCACCATCCTGTGACCATGTTCAGCTTCGGTGGTAAGTACCTTGCTCGTTGATTCCTTACTTGGTTCATCAAGGCCACGTTGTCGGCGCATTCAAGGGCCGCATCTGCCCGCTCTTAGTGGGACTCACGTCAACAACAGCATTAACAGGCGCCGTTCATCATGGCAATTGGAGCGGCTCTCACTTTCGTGTATTTCTTTACTTTGTTAAGCTGCTTGTTGTAGACGCTACTTGGGATGCTTCTGTCTGTCAAGTGGATATATATCCCACACATGTTTCGTCTGAGACGTGCGCCGCACGTGCAGTATTGTTGCTGATATAGGACATCTTGTTCATAGGCAACCTACTGGCGGGGCAACATGATACAGAGAAACAGAGGTCGCCACCTTCGAAACCGACACCCGTCACGTTTCCTTCCCTTGACCCGCCCGAGCCCTCGACAAACGCGCCGCCAGCTTCCTGGACCCAACCGGGAGCCAAGATCTCAGGACACTTCCTGCGACTGAAGAAGCCGTCCGATGTCAGCGAAGACACCTTGGCCTTGCTGAACGTCACGTTTCAGCCCCAATGTAGTCTAGAAACATTACTATCATCCTTGTCAAACAACGCAGGGACGTTCTTACCCCCAAGTTCTTGGGTGCATTCGCCTGGAGAACAAGAGGCTGTACCAGATCCGGGATCTACGGCCAAACTTCTGAGCAATGGTAGAAGATTACCTGATCAAAGAGAGTTTCATATCCGGGCAAGAGAACTTCTCTTCAAGAATGCCGATGCTTTCTCGACACTCACGCGGAAGAGTAGTGGAGATCAAACACCGGTTCGATTGGCTCATTTTCGAAAGTTCTGGGAAGGTCTTGACAATCTAGCTTATTACTGGGACACATCTTTAGACGAATATCTTCCACCGGCCCAAGAAGCTAGCGATAGCAGTGGGGAAACCACAGTCTCAGGTTCCCTGCAAGAGTCCACAAAAGCCGATGGCCGGGAAACCAAACGCGAAACCGATTCAGACCGGGCGTTGACAGCGAGGCTCGGGTCTCGCACGCCTGAAGACGGGGAGCCTCGCAAGAAGGCCAAGGTAGGAGACGCTGAAAGCGAAACACGATCAGCCGAGGCCCATAGCACTAATGGCACCATCAAAGCATCGGTGAGTGCACCGGTGTCTTCAGCTTCTCCAAATCGTGTACTCCCAGCTCGGGCTGCACCGCCCAAGACCCCGTGGGCGGCAAACATGGAGTCTCAGAGCAAGGCAGTTGACCTCTCGAACGGCTCTTACCGAGGATATCGTATTGGGAATGGTGTCGAGATGCCTGATCAGTACCGCATTGATTGCGTGCGTAGCTTCTTAGAACCTATTG